CCCCCCCTCGCCGCCCACCAAGCCGACCATGAACCGCCGCCAGAAGCGGCGTGGAAACCGCGCGGCGCGCAGCCCCGCCTCGGCCGGCGGCAATTCCACTGGCACCGACCCCTCCTCCCCCTCGTCGCCCATGACGCCGGGCTTCTCCTCGCCCGACACGCCCATGTCCCCGATGCCGGATTCCTTCCAGCGCGAGAGCGTGGTCATCCAGCATGCCGAGCCGCCGCAGCTCTCCGCCGCGCCGACCCAGCGCCAGGGCCGCAAGGGGCGCGGCGCCAACACCTCGACCGCTGCCACCGAGGCCCTGGCCGCGTCGGTCGAGAAGCAGGCCGCCTCGCAGCTGGCCGAGGTTGTCCGCTCCGGCGATGAGGGCGACGTCTCGGCGCCCACCTCGCCGGCTATCCCGCCCGCCGATGTGCGCCCCCGCCCCCTTTGCTTTCCCCCTCCCCCCTCCGCACACACGCACACGCACACGCACACGCACACGCACACGCACACGCACACGCACACGCACACGCACACGCACACGCACACGCACACACACTCTCTCTCTCTTTCTCCCTCGCCCTCCCTCTTTCCTCTTCCGACGCTTGTGCCAATCCTGACGATCTCCCTCCTACCGTGGCGCCCCCCTCCCTCTCTCGGTCCTCTCCCTTCTGCTCCCGCCGTGCAGCACATCACCTACTTCGTCCTGGGCAGCGTGCCGCAGATTGGCACCGCGGTGTCGATGGATGAGGTCCACAAGCTGCAGGCTCCCCTGGACGCGGAGGACACTCTCGATCGCCTCGCCGCTCAGGCCCTCGGCGTGCCCCACCCCCATGGCACTCTTTGGGCATGCACGCATGGCACTGATGGCCTGAGCCTGCTGGTGCCGCTTCCCGGCACTGCCACTGTCGCTCAGCTGGCCAAGATTCTGGCCCTGGACCCGTCTCTCGCCCTGCTGGCCACGCCGGCCGACTTCATTCTCATCTGGAAGTCCATCATGAAGGCTGTGCGTGCTGGCTTGCTTCTCCTGTCGCCTCCCCCCCCCCTGTAGCACCGCCACACAACACCCCATCATCCGCGGGCCTGGTCTCACCCCTCCTCTCCATCCCCTCTCTCGGTGTCTGATTGTTCGCTTGACTCGAACACAACCGGACCTTTCGTCCCCCTTCGCGTCCCCCCATTCCTGGCCCCCTCAGACTGCCCTGTCGCGCTCGGTTCGCCGCCTGCTTGACTCTTCGGCCACGGAGCACCGGACTCTCAGCACGGATCTGCACAACTGGCTTATTAGCCACAAGCCCAAGGTACTTTTCCCGGCTATGCCCGCTGCCGGCGCCACCCCCTGGTGGCGGCCATGTGCCTCCCCCCCCCCCCGCCCCCGCCCCCGCCCCCTTGGGGCTGCATTTGCAAACTGTCACTGACGCACCGCCCGTTCGGCTGCTACCTCCCCCTTTGCTGCCCACGGCCGCCTAAGAGTTATCTCGGCGAGATCCTGGAGTCCTTCGAATACTTCTCCACCAGCATTGCCACCGGGACCGGCGCCTCCGATGCATTCGTCCTCTTCTTCAAGAAGTCCATTGCCGACCTTAGCGAGGGCCGCAACACCAGCGAGTCTGACAGCGACTGGCCCAATGTGGTCAACGGCTTCCTGACCCACTACTCGTCGCTCGCCTGCAATGCCTGGGTTTCCTTTGTCTACTGCCTGCCGGCCAACTTCGTACGCATGCCTCTTCCTCTTTCCTTGCATGTCTCCCTCTCTCTCTCTCTCTCTCTCTCTCTCGCTGCCCCCTCCATGCGCGTCTTTCGGGCATCCTGCTCGACTCTTCTCTAATCATGGCCACATCTCTCCGTTCCGTCCGTGACAGAACCCGGAGGACTCGTGTCTGGTGTCCTCGGTGCTGCATGCGCTGCAAACGCCCGATGACCAGATCATCATCCCCTTCGTCGAGCCCGATAGCGAGTGCGAGTCGGCCGCCGAGGAGGCCGATCCCGAGGTGACCCCGACCCCGGCCGAGACAAAGTCCGAGATTGTCGACCCGGAGTCCGAGCCTGAAGCCGAGCCCGAAGCCGAGCCCGAGCCCGAGCCCGAAGTCGAGCTCGAGCCCGAGCCCGATACCGAATCCGAGGCCGAGGCCGAGGCCGAGGTGGAGGTTGCCCCCCAGGTCCCAGTGGAGGAGGCTACTCCGGTCCCCGAGACGGATGATGGCGTTGAGCTTCTGCCGCCCACCTCCTCCACCGAGACGTGTGTCCTGGAGCCGGTTGCCGCCGTTGAGGAGTCCTTCTCCGATGCGGTGCTGGTCCAGGACCCGGCCACTCTGGTGTCCGACTTGGAGCCCACCGAGGCCAGCGAGGCTCCGAAGTCCGCCACCAAGACGGCCCCCCCGCCGGCCAGCGAGCTGGCCACCGCCGAGGAGTCCCCCCGGCGCGGGGTCTCCGAGGATGAGGACGAGGTGCCCTCCAAGCCCGTCCATGTTTCTAAGGAGCAGGCTGCGGTCGAGGACCAGCAGCCCGTCCGGTCCTTTGCCCTGGCCAAGCTCTTCATCGAGCTGGGGGACCGGCGCAAGCGCGTGCGCTTTGAGCCGTGTGGCCCGGTGGCCGGCCTGGCCGGCCTGCATGGGGCCCTGCTTGACCTGTTCCGGGCCAGCTTCCCGGATGCCGAGCTCCCTGCGACGCCGGTTGTGTCCGTGCGCGAGGCTGGCGAGGTGGACTTCTATGAGCTGGACGACATGGACTTCCTGGCCGAGGGGTGCTTCGTGCGGGTCGGGGCGGCCGGTCCGGCTGCCGGGTCTGGCGCCGCCTTGGCCGAGCGGTTTGAGCAGCTCCGTGATGAGCTCCTCGGTGCCCTGACTGGCGGTGGTGTTGCCGCGAATGTCTCCCGGCCGGTGGCCTCCTCGGCCATGGCCACGGCCGCCGTGGTGGCCGCCCCGGCCGCCCAGGCCGCCCCGGCCGCCCCGACGATTGTCTCGGCCGTCGACGGCCAGTCGGTGCGCGCTGTGGCCGCGGACCTCCGCTCTCTGAAGGCCACCCAGGGCGAGCTGTCGCGCTCGGCCCGCAAGCTGCAGAAGGACATCCGTGCGGAGATGCACCACGCCATCGCCGCGATCAAGAACTTCAAGGTGCGTTCTCTCTCTCTCTCTCTCTCTCTCTCTTTCCTCCGGTCTCCCATCCCCTTTTCTCTCTTCTTGTGCCTTTGATCCATTCGCCCGCTCTATCCCCCATATTTCCCTTCCTCCTCGCCCTCTCTCTCTCTCTCTCTCTCTCTCTCTCTATCTCTCTCTCTCTCTCTGACACACACACACACA